AGCGTATTTAGTAATCCGACCAGAAGTGAGAGTCCTTTTCTAGTAATGTACATAGCAGGCCAGCCAATGCGTGCATTAACATACACATATGTATGCTGAATTACATAGCCGTCCGATAGTTAAAGTTATTTTTATATTTTTCATTTAAGTTATTCTCAAAACCAACGGCGAACAAATTACAGTAGTTTTTTGTAATATTGGTATATATTATGCGAACAATAAACGATGAAATCAATTACTTTCCCACTTTAAAATATGGTACGTGCGATAGCTGAAAATATATGAGTTTACTCATATCAGTAAGCTTTTAAATATTAGAGAAGCACGAGCAAGAAACTGAGCAGCTCAAATACATGTACACATGTGTATAAACACAAGGCATCGTGTGAGTGGTTCGCGCTGAAACAGATTCAGTCTTCTGTTGAACTTGACTGTGTAAAGATTGCAATCGGGTATTTTCAATAAGCATGTCTTCAGAAGTAAACGTTATTTTAATAGCGTGCTTGATTATTTGGGTATTAAATTCAGAAAATATTCAGAAAAAACAGGAGGCGCCAGAGAGTGAAATTCCCAATATGCCGAAGGTAAAATCCAGGGAAGATTTTATAAAAGAAATGGAAGAAAGCTGGTCGGCATATTTTGTGAATAAAATAAAGCCCACACTTGAACAAACAATGAACATACAAAGTTTACACCAGCAGATTATGGAGCAAGAGGAAATGTTAATAACATATCAGAAACTATTAGGAGCGATGCAAACCAATTTAAGTGTTTGTGAAGTAAACAACAAGGCTAAAGAATTGATCATTGATCAACTACTATCTAGAATGTTGCTAAGCGATACAAATAAAGTGGATAAATCATTTAAGTCAAGTTGTATTGGTAAATTGACCGAAATTTACGAGTTGGAAGTGCCTGGCATCGACTCATTTCTGGTGCCCTGTGACTCCACTTTGGCTGGTTCCGGTTGGACCGTCATACAGAGGCGTCTGGATGGAAGCGTTAATTTTAACCGAAACTGGGCAGAATATCGTCAGGGATTTGGTAATCTGGATGGAGAATTTTTTATCGGTCTTGAGAAACTGCATTTAATGACCAAGTCACAGAAACACGAGCTATATATACATCTTGAGGATTTTGAAAATCAGCATCATAATGCCCGATACAGTGAGTTTCTGATAGATGACGAGGCTACATCGTATATGTTAAGGATTCTTGGAGAATATTCTGGCAATGCTGGCGATTGGTTGACCCAGCACAACAACACCATATTCTCAACTCCAGACATGGATAACGAGTGCGCCATGCTCTACGAATCTGGCTGGTGGTATCATAATTGTTCTCTTTGGTAAGCTTTTCATATATTTAACGATTTTCTAATACATCAACTTTTTTAAAATTTGTAGTAACCTGAATGGATTATATACTACGAATGAAGATCAACCTGGTATAACATGGTATTCACTTTCAGTTAAATTTGTTCAAATGATGATTCGACCAAAAGAAATTTAACTAAGATCTAAAATTTTGCAAAATTGTTCAAAAATTATTTAAATAAACGATCATTATTAAACATTTTTCTTTTATTTTTTTTAACATTGAGCAATTTATAAACAAAGCTGCAGCAGTCTAGCTGCATTCGAGCACAAGTGTCATACTGCGTGACAGACAAACAAGCCGCAGCAGGGAACACATTCAAGCCTGTCCGACACTCCCTTCCACACGCCAGACACATAATGTAGGGAATGAGATGACGCACGGTCAGATAGCCCTAGCGACAGACCGTGCCACTGTCAGGCTATAAGTCCGAGTATATTTCATATTGGAACTCATGGCGTCGTTTCATATTCCTATTTACAATATATGCCATAAGCTCACATATACACACACACACACACAGCTCGCATTGTTGGTTTTTGTTAGTTTGCTGCTTTTGAGGGCACAACTGCCCTGAAAATGTGGCATGTATACGAATCCATATGCACAGATCAATATAAATTTGTATATGTGGAATGTGTTTTTTTTTTCAAGACAGCACATAAATTCATAATGTCAAAATGGATGCCACTAGCAGCAACAAAGCCGCGTCGAAATTTAACACATAAATTTGTAATTTATATTTGCAATATTTGTACGCTATGCCCGGGGCTTGGCATCAAGCAAATTACAGAGCGAAATTCTATGAAAAAAATTATAGTGAGATAATATAAACAATCAAATATATTTATAAAAATTGAAAAAGCTACTCTTTTTTAATTAAGCTAGCGCTCGAACGATTTGAAAAGTTTAAAAGCTACTCAAATGCAAACTACAACTAAATTTAGTTATTTACGGTACATAATTATTACGCTGTACCTGTATATATTGTACTTTTAGTTTACTATTTTAATTTCAAAATATATTTCATTTTAAATCGCTGGTGTATCAAATAAAATATAAGTATTTAATAGCATAAATTCCTAGATTTTGAGAAGCAACTATTAATGATTTTGTATTTATTTACTTAGAAACATGACCAAATATATGTCTCTCTAGCTCGCTCTCTGTCTCGATTGTAGGGAATTTAAATCAGATCATAGTTGATAGGAACTGATTTCGAATTTTTACTATAAAAGTGGATATATAAGAACATTTTTTATTTTTCTTTGCGTTTATTCAATTAGGGAGCAGAACCTTGTTCAAATAATAAATAATTAATGTGATCTCCGATTAAAATTAGTTTGCGTGAACAGATGGTTGTTTGCCTCGTTCTTTACCAATTGGGGATATACTTTAAATGCATTTCGTGCCTTTTTAAAGCTGGGAAAATGTGCACTTCAAAGAGCTGTGTGCATATCGAAAAGTTAAACACACAATTTTTGTATATAAAGGCATATAAATAAATAACATACTAGCGAAACCAAACCCCAGACAGGATTCGACCCTCTTTCTCTCTACTTTGAGGTGAGCATGCAAAATGAAATCAATTATTTATGCATTCATTTTGTAGCTCTTTTATATTGATTTAATTGCCACACAGCATCTGCAAGAGTCGGTGTGAGTAATTAAATAATAATTTTTGCTCGTATGTATTTGTATACCCTGACAGATTGCTGTTTGCCCGCCCGTTTGTCTTTTGGGACTTGATTATGATGTCCTTTAAATGAATGGCTTTTTGGCCATCGATCAGATCGCAAGTCCGTCGTTCCTCATTCCCTTTTACTCCATTTTGTTTACCCACTGACGGCCCCAAGAGTTCTTTTGAATATTTAGTGCTTTTGTGTAACCAATTCGATTTGTTTTAAATACTTTTTCAATGTTTATTGGATTTAAATAAAGACTATGTCAACAACAGAATGTTAATCTAGAAATAATTATGTGATTTCCTTGAGAGACAGGTTAATAGTGCTGAAATGAGCTTTCAGCTAGAAAAGAGCCCTAATTCATGATTTTAAACATAGACATAATAAATCAAAACCAAATTCAAAATGTTTAATGTTTAAATGTTTAATCAAATGTTTATATTCACCATACACTACATTGCAAGAATATGATCAATTTCTATTCCAGTAAGGATCGAAAAGCTTACCTATAAAGAAAGCGAAGAAAATGTGTGAATATTAATTAAACATATTAATACAAAGTAATAAATTATTAAAATCAATTTAAAATTAATGTTTTCTTAGGCTCTATGCATGTGATTATAAACTTTCAGAACGTTACCACTAAATTCATTTTTGTTGTAGTTTTTCGTATATATATAATTAAATATTTATTTATTTAAAAATATACACTCCTGGATATATACATCTACAATTTTTACAATCATGTTATTCAATTTTTCTAACATGTATAAGTTATGTTTCTTAAATCTCCATTTATAAAACTGTTTATCCTGACTGACTGACTAACACACTGACTGATTGATTGGTGAGCAACGCACAGCCCATACCGAAAGAGCTAGGAAATTGCAATTTTCACAGTAGTTGTGATGTGATGAAGGTGCATGATAAGACCGGGATTCGGGAAATTTCATTCGCAAGTGTGGAAAAATCGCGAAAAACTTTTGTATGAAACTTTTTTATTAATCATCCTCAAAATCATTATCAAAGATCTTTGTGTCATTTGATAAGTTCATGGACGGCAAATGGGATTCAAAGGTTAAATTAAAGAAAGTTTATTCTTCAGCTTCAAGATTCTCACCGCAAGACAAACCGTTTATTCCATCACTTAAATAGGTTGCTAAAGTGAAAAATATTTTTGAATGAGCTTTCGATGGTTGTTAATATTTTTTACTGCGTATTATAAAAATAATTTGATTAATATATCATTAATTATATTATTTACATTATATACTATTTATTATAAATTATTAATTAATGATTATGTTAAAAGGGAAAACGTAAGAAGTTTCATGGTTAACATTCGAATAAATTATTATAAAGAATAAATGTATTTTGCATATTTTTTAACATTTTTAATTCTGACAAAAAAAAATATTGTTTAAAAAAATGATTTTTATTATAAATTTGGAACTAACAAGGACAATAATTAATTTAAAAAATATCAAATATATATATATTTTCAGGTCACATAAGCTTTAAGAGCGAAAAAATATATGGTAGCTGCTTGTCATTGAAATGCTCTCCGCATTTCTACTGATAACACAAAGAACTCTTCTTGCCTGAAGATACTAAAATCTGTTTTCTTTGTTCGATTCGCAAATAGGTCTCAGTCAGATTATAATTTTTACTGATAATTCCCGGAATTACAAAAATTTGTTTTCTTTGTTCGAATCGCAAGCAGGTCTCAGTCAGTTTATAATTTCTAACGCTGTGCAACGGTTGCAAATCTCAAATTAATTATCTAAAGATGGGAATATATTTTAAACTATGGGCAATTTTATTAATGCCCATACAAGTTCAATCAAATGGAGTATCGACAAATGACTCGGTTGGTGTCTCAAATGTAATGTCAATTATTTAGATTCTAATTTAAAGTTAAACGCAGTGCACAAGGGATTCGAGAGAGAAGGATTCGGAGTGCGGAACCTACTGCTATAAAGTGGTTAAACCGCTTCTTAGCTACGCAGTCTCTATACGTGCAAAGGAAGAACAATTCGCAGAGTTAGAGAGTAAAATCAATGAGCAAAAGGCGACTGTATTTTATTTGAGGGAAACAATCCGGCAAAAGGATCTTCAACTGACTCAACAAATCGAACTGACCGCCTTGTATAAGATCTATAATGCAGTGTTAGAGAAACAACTCGTCTCCAATGATGTTCTTATAAATAATCTGCAATCCAAAGTTAAATCGGCAGATTCCCAAATCAACGAACAAGATAAAGAACTAAAAAAATCGCTATCGAAGCATGAAAATAATGAATTAAATGTTGCCAAGATCAAAAAACTTGAATCGAAACTCTCAGAGTGTAATGCGATGAGCGAAACAATCAGGCAAAAGGACCTTCAACTGACCCAACAAATCGAATTGACCGCCTCGTATAAGAGCAATATTGTACAGCTGGAGAAACAACTCGTCTCAAATGATGTTCTTATAAATAATCTGCAATCCAAAGTTAAATCGGCAGACTCCCAAATCAACGAACAAGATAAAGAACTAAAAAAATCGCTATTGAAGCACGAAAATAATGAATTAAATGTTGCCAAGATCAAACAACTTGAATCGAAGCTCTCAGAGTGTAATGCGATGAGCGAAACAATCAGGCAAAAGGACCTTCAACTGACCCAACAAATCGAATTGACCGCCTCGTATAAGAGCAACATTACACAGCTGGAGGAACAACTCGTCTCAAATGATGTTCTTATAAATAATCTGCAATCCAAAGTTAAATCGGCAGATTCCCATATCAATGAAAAAGATAAAGAATTAAAGATATCAAGATCTAAGCATGAAGATAATGAATCTAATGTTGCCAAGATCAAACAACTTGAATCGAAACTCTCAGAGTTCAAAGCGATGTCTATAATCCCTAACTGCCTAGGAAAACCAAGTGATGTGTATGCGATAAAGGTACCCGATATGTATCCATTCTCCGTGTCCTGTGACTCGAAGCTCGCCGGTTCCGGGTGGATCGTTATTCAACGCCGTATCCACGGCAGTGTGAGCTTTAACCGAGGCTGGGATGAGTACAAGGCAGGTTTTGGGGATTTGCGAGGCGAGTTCTTTATCGGACTCGAGAAACTCCATAAACTGACCCAATCGCAACCTCACGAATTATATATATCTCTGAAGGACTTTCAAAATGAAACCCGTTATGTCCGATACAGTAACTTTGTTATTGGCAACGAGACAGAGGTGTATAAGATTAAAATGCTTGGAGATTTTACAGGAAATACTGGTGATTCCTTCAAGTATCATTTACACAACAATTTCTCAACACCAGATCGGGATAATGATGGGGATACGGGTAACTGTGCTCTTAGTTTCCAGTCTGGATGGTGGTTTACTAAATGTTATAACAGGTAAGCAAACTGTTTATGTTAAGACCAGTTTTACCTTTCATCTTTTTTTTTAATTTTAGCAATCTAAATGGACCGTATACCTCGAAAGGTGGACTAGGTACACCGAGAATTTCTTGGAATAGTTGGCACCTGAAGCCACTGAAATTTACCCAAATGATGATCAAGCCGAAGTCTTCTTCGTTCATTAATACTCACTAATGTTTTTTGAAAACTGTTTTTTTAATTGGAATCCTCTTTTTATTTTTAAAAATTATATTATTTTGATAAATTTTATTATATTAATCGCATTAAATTAATAAGTCTAGACTTGAGACCCCAAACGAAAAGCAAAATTTAAATAATATGCAAAATCATGTGTCAAAGGTATTTCTCTGATAGCTCGTCCGGCTGCTGCTCCATTGACTTCTTGAACACCGATTAGAATTTTAAAAATGCAAAATGCGAGATTTCTTTGTTGAGATTACGCTTTACTAACGTTAGTTTATAATCAACTAATTTGGGCGACAGTTTTAAATCTTAGTTTAACTATAAAATGTAAAAATTATTCGTGGTAATGAAATGTTCGGTTAGTTTTTTCGTGTTGAAAAAGTTTTTAAAAGATATAAAGATAATTCAAATTATACACCAAAATTTCTCAACACCAGATCGGGATAATGATATTGATGTGGCAAACTGTGCTCTTATTTTCGAGTCTGGATGGTTTACCAAATGTTATCACTGGTAAGCATACAGTTTATGTTTAAACCAGTTTTACCTATCATCTTTTTTTTTTGTAATTTTAGCAATCTAAATGGACTGTATACCTCGAACCGTTATGGAATAGCTGGAAAAAAATTGCTTGGAATGATTGGTAAATAATTAGAGCTAGAGTCACCAAACTTCATTTTATAGCTATCGCCACTTCCCCGCTACCACTACCACGCTATAATTCATGTTAGTAAACCAACTTGTATTGCCTATCTAATTAAGCCACAATTTAAATGCAATTGTCATTTTAAGAATACACGAATATTTTATAGTACAATATGATCTACTACTCAAAATTTCAACAAGATCGGTTAAGAAACACGAAAGAAAATGTGTTTTGGCCTGCAAACACGTGCAGCAGCAAGCGCAAATTCCAAGAATTTCTGTATACATGTACACACACACACACATTCATGCGCGTCTTCCTTGATTTCTATCAACAGCATTGCAGTTGCGATTGTTTTCTTTTCTGTGCTGCTATTTCAATTGGTCTTTTTCTCACTGAGACTCAATTATTGGTGTGGCTGTTGAGTAGAGGCGGCGGCAAATAGTGCAGTTTATAGCGAGTTCGAACCCTGCCAAGGGAACTTTTTTTTTTATTAATTAATATTTATTATTACTAAAGCAAACGAGTGCGTAGCGCGAACTGCATTTGGTGTTGGAATAAGAGGGTTCAGGGTATCCCCTAGTCGGGAGCTCCCGACTAGAACCTCTTAGTTGTTTTTAATTAATTTTAGTTTGAATGGGGTTCGTTGTTCGTGTTCATCTGTTCAGTTTGATTCGGTCCGTTGAAGCGTTCGATGCTCGTTGCATTACGTTGCTTGCTATTAACCCCGGATGACAATGCATGATTTGGGAGAAATATTGGCTAACTATTAGATATCGGAAATCAGATGTTAATTAAAAATATATACGCTGAATTATTCGATATGCCTTATTAATTATTGAAATCGATCGAGAAGTAAAAAAAAGAGAACTTTATTCTTGGTCAAAATGCCCTCAAATATCCTATATAACATAGACATAGGTCAAAATTTCCCTCCCCCACAGCTCGGTCAAGTCTTATCCGATTTGCGTGAGGTTTGGGTCTTTGTTTATTTATTTTAAACGTACAACGGGCAAGTCCGGGGTATAGCCTATATAATTAAAACTATTAACAATATTCAATAAGAAGCTACATTTATCCCGCATAGTTTATTATCTAGGCCAATGCTCAAACAGCGCGAAAACCTGAAGAAAATGCGCGGCATGAAAAAATATAAAACAAATTGAAGTGAAAACAAAAGCAAGGGAAACAAATATAGCCAAGCCAATGGCTAAAATGGGGTTTGGGGCGTCAAAAACAGCAATAAATAAACAACAGGTATAAAATGGACTTACGAACGTAAAAGCAGAGCGCGGCTATAAAAATGCAATTTTTTCAGTCCAGCCTAGGTCGCACACACACACATATAAATAAATATATGTGTGTAGAAGAGCACAAAAGCTGCTTTAGTCAGGTAACAAATGTTTATGCAATTTGTTTAAAGGCCGGGCGTGTAAATAAGTAATATGTGAGCTTGAGCCCAAAGAAGAGTGCAAATTTTGCACTAAATGCACCGCAAGGCACAGCCCACGCCCCCGCACGCCCCTTCCAACATAAGGGGTGAATTGTGCTATTTTTTCGTTGGACAAAGGCCGGGCGCGCAAATTGCAGCAGTTGCCTCTCAAAGGCATAAAAGGCAAATTCAAAAATAAGAAAAAACCTGTTTTTATCGGAGAGCCGATTATTAAATACCCTTGCATACTATATACATCTAGACTAAACGTAATACAACACGAAATTGTAACTCAATTTGTGGCAAAATATTGCAAATTAATACTGATGAAGAATATATGTACTAAACGGGCTTACAAATTTAAAATACCCTCTGGTAGGGTATAAATAACGAATATGGAGCAAGTGCAAACAATTGCCGACTCTCGTCATTGCAGCGCCCCATTCCATTTGCATTTCCCGATCCCGGCCACCCTTTGCCCACACTATCGCTTCTTATTGCCATTCTCCTTGCCATGCAAAAATGTGTTCCAAACTGAAATTGAAAGGCAGCTCTCGTGTGGGCGTGGCCCGCATTGGCCCTTTGGCGCTGGCATTTTATTGCCAGCTTTTGGGCGTGAATGTGTGCAGCATTGAGAAACTGCCAGCTGGCAGTTGTGGAAAGAATTATGCCTGAAGTTGGCCCAAAGGGTGGGAGGAGTGGTAACACCAAGTCCACCCGCCAATCCCCAAACAAGCAACTAACGTTACCAAATAAGTCAATTGGCAGAATGATTTAAATGCCAGCACATCCGTAATGTCACGAAGGACATAGGGCAAAAGCTAGCTACATAAATTTTGATGCAGTTGTCGCTCGAACATGATAACCTGAAGAAATTTAATTTTTAAGAAATATTAATTGTTTATTTTCGGGCATAAGATAATATAATCATTTTAACTGTGAAATATATTTTGTATTATTGGATATTAATCTTATTAAAACTTTTCCTTAAATCATCAATCATAAATGAACTTTTTATGTTTGCTGACTGAGAGTAGAAGGTCTAGGAAACTGAACTTTTCACTGCATTTACCTTGAGATAAAGGGATAAACTGAGACGCGGTATTAGGAAATTCCACCCGCAATTGTGGAAAATTGGCGAAAAATCAGTTAAAATCAACATCATTTGCAGAATTCAACCCTCATTAATGCTCAGCTCGCACCTCGAAACAATATGTTGGAATAAGATTTTTTAAAATATAGCACATATTTGCCTAATTTTGGAAGAGCTATTTCCCTAAAAAAATGTTCTTGTTTTTCTTTGAAGCGTTCCACTTATCGAGGGTTCTCTGTATAGTAGCAACAATTTCAGTGGCATGGCCATAGCCTTTAGAATTTAATGTCTAATTTCGTTAAGCCCATTTAATAGAGTCACGCCATGACTCGCCCATCGGCGAAATTCTCAATGCAGTCGCATAAACTGTGAGCTAATTAACATCAACATTTTCGTATAGATATAATGATAAACACATCAACAGCAGCAGTTAATAGGGGGCTAGGGCTCAGGGAGACAGAGAGAAGAAGGCTGACAAAATCCATGACAAAATTTAATGTCTCAGCCACGACATAAATTTTAATGCCAAGCCCTGGTGTTGGCCATATACAACATACACAGCCCATTTGGTCCCGTGTCGCAGCAGTCAAAACAAATGTTTGCCAGGACAAACAGACAAGAAGCACACAGCAACAGAAAAACGGGAGGGGGATAGACCGAAAGAGAGAGCGAGACAGAGAGAAATGCAAATGCAAATGCAACTGTAACAGTGCAACAGATGCTGTTGCAACCACCAACAAGGCGACTCTGGCTGCTTTTGGTCGACACTTTACACAGTGGCACAAGCCATAATCAGGACAAGTGTCCTGCTGCAACAGCAGCTGCTGCAGGCTGCATGCGGCATGCTCCCTGCTGCATGTTGCCAGCAAGCTGCATTATGTATTATTATTTGATGCATTTTGCATAGAAGGCAAAGTCGAGCTGCCCTCAATGTGCCTGGTGACATTATGGAGTAGCTGGCGGAGTGGGGCAAACGAAGACGAAAAGCCAGCAAATCTGCAGGCAACGCTGGGACTTAGCCTTGAGCAAAAGTTGAGCGCACGAGCCTCATGATTTATGCACGTGTTTAGTGTGAAAAAATGTACATTAAAAGCAAAATCCAAACACCACATACCACACCATTCCGCACTTCTTTGCTATCCCCCGCCTCCCCCCTAGAGAAAGTGTTGCCAAGAGAATGTTTAACACAGTTGCGTGGAGGCGTCTCGCCGGGCAGGCAGGAAGTGAAAGTGTGTTAGAGGACGCGCATGTGTTGCTCCTGTTTGCCTTCTGCTCGTATTGGTATTGAGGTCACTGGTCATTATCAAGATGTTGCCAAAGAAATGCCATAAAGTGCTGTCCTGTCACTAGTCCTTGTTGCTGGCGACGGCTGTCGTCAGCAGCTGCAGCAGCAGCAGCGGCAGCGCACCATTTGATATGCAAGGCAGATAAAGGCCAACGCGCATTCAGCGCCTGGCCTGGCCAAAAGCCAAAAGGCTGCCTACAAATGGCAGGGCAACAACAAGGCGGCGGGCACACAGGGGCATGAAGAGCAATTTGCTAAGCAGCACGCCTCAAGTTGTCTGGAAAAGCCAACAAAACCAACAATATGGAGATGGCAATAGTTTAATGCCTGCCCAACTGCAAGTGAGCTTCAAAGAAAATTGCTGACCAAGCAGCTTCTTTAGCTAACAGCGAGTGTGCGATGTTTGTGTGTGAACGGATTTGCCTTTCACTTGTTAGTTGTGGAATTAACGTGTATAAATTGAATGTTTAGCTAATTTGTTGCTATGCGCACAGTTCTGGGAAGTATAAGCTGACAAAGTGCGTCTTACATTTGGCTGAGATTGGGAATTGGGTGAGGTATAGTAAATTCTCCCATAACTGGCAGCTTCCATAACCAAATAAATTTTGTCAACGCACATTTCTCACATTTTTGCCATACAAAATGCTTTCCACTCGCCGAACACTCCAATTACTGAACGCGCACAAAATATTGAAATAAAATGTTTTGGCTCAAAATCATAAACAAGATTTTTATAAAATTTAGATTCTCCATTGACAAAAATGTACACATTTATACCATAATTGTTGGGAAAGGCAATGAAATGGCTGATTATTTAAAGAAATTTTTTGTTTTTTAGATCGTAAAATGACATTAAATTAGTATTTTTATCTATTAAAGAAAAATCTAAAGCAATTTGTTTGTT